CTAGCGTGGAGTCGACCTGGGCGTCTGCGCTGTGCACGTGACGAGGAGTGGCGTACCAACCAGCTGCGTGCACCAGCGAAGCAGGTGCTTCGTTGTCCTGCGGGTGCAATGCTGTGCAGCCGACTTGCTGCAGCGTTGGCGCACCGTAGACTTTCAACGTTGGCAAGCCGCGACATTGCTTTGCTGGAGCGCGGTCGACCAAGTCGTGCTGGCACGCGGTCGACCGTGCTGCACTGGAGGTCGACCAGCACCTTTGCTAGGTCTAATGTAGACTTGCATGCCAACTTTGTTGCCATCATTTTCTGAATCATTGTTGTGAACTTTTGCTAGTGGAACTCTTGCCAAATTCCCCCGTGAACCAACATGTAGTTCAAGCACAAGTAAACGACTAAGTGAACGAACGCAGAGATCAAACGAGCACCCGTGCCTAGCCCGTAGTCTAGCTCCCGTTGATAGAGTTATCTCCGCAGAGCAAGCATGCAAGTATTTAAATATAAGTATATATATATACATGTATAGATCATAGTACAAGACAAAGTCAAGCAACCAGCAGGTGAGGCAGAGTAGGCACAAGGCCTAGAGCAGTGTAGAAACGTTGATAATCACCAGACCCAAGGGCCTTGGTGAAGACATCAGCAGTGTTGGCCCGAGAGGCCACGTAAGCAAGGCGAAGCTGACCCCGCTGCTGCAACTCTCGAGCAAGAAAGTAACGAAGAGCAATGTGCTTCGTTCTGTGCTCCAGTCTCTGCTCCCGACACAAGGCAATCATGGCCTTGTTGTCGACGTATAGAACTGGAGGAGAATGAGGCCGCTCACCCAAGTCGGTCAGCAGGTAGGTCAGCCAGCGTAACTCTTGTGCAGCCATAGCCCCAGCGTAGATCTCGGCCTCACAGCTAGAACCAAGCACAGAAGAAGAATGAGTGGACCTCCACGAGATAGAACCAGAGCCGATACTGAAAGAGTATTTCTGGGACGACCGCTGAGTCACCTGGTTGTCGGCCCAAGAAGTGTCGGAGTGTCCTGTGAGTACAACTGAACCCCGTCCTCCAAGCACGAGCCCCATGCCCGATGTATTGCACAGGTAACGCAACATCCTCTTAGCAGCCCGCCGGTGCTCTGGTCGGTGTCTCTCGGGCGCAACGTAGCGCGGCAGGATGCTGAGAGGGTACACGAGGTCAGGTCGTGTGCATGTCATTAGGTACATGAGGCAGCCCACAAGCTTTGGATACTGACAACTCGGCTCTACGGACTCGTCCGAAGGTGGAGCTGAAAGCGAGTGGCCCGTAGGCAGAGGAGTAGGCTGTTGCGAGGAGAAACGAAAGCCAAAGCGCTGAAGGACCTGCTGCACTATGTGTGACTGAGTCAGAGTGATGGTGTGCCTTGTCCTGTCCCGAGTGATCTGCAAGCCAAGATAGTTGCCCAGCTCACCTAGGCCAGTGCAAGGGTGTCCCTTCTGCAGCTCCGCCTTCACAAAGGCCAGCGCCTCAGTGTCGGTAGTAGCAAAGACCAAGTCGTCGACGTATACGAGGATGTAGAACTCCAACAGGGAAGGGTTGGTGCACAGAAACAGTGACGGGTCAGCAGTCGAAGGAGCAAACCTAAGAGCCGCAAGTGTCGTCCTCGGTGTGTCATGCCACTTGCGGGGCTCTTGGCGAAGACCGTAGACTGGCCGCCGTAGGCTCCACTGGGTACCCTCAGGAAACGACCCAGTAAAGCTAGGTGGACGGCGCAGCCAGATCTCCTCGTGAAGGCTGCCCTGCAAGAAAGCTGTGGAGAAGTCGAAGGAGTGCAGCTCGTAGTCACGTTGTGCTGCAACGTGCAGTAACACCAGAAGAGTAGTCATCTTCGGGGTGGGAGAGAAGGTCCGGAAGAAGTCGACCCCCTGTCGCTGACTGAAGCCTCGAGCAACGTAACGTGCCTTGAAGGCAGGCAGAGAACCTGGCGGCAGCTTCACTCTGAAAATCCACATGCCATCGACTATGTTCACCCTAGAAGGGGGAACCTCGTCGATGTAGGTGCTTGTGGACTTCCAGGAAGCCATCTCTGTCGAGAGACTTACGGGTGGAGAAATTTGACTTAAGGGAATGAAGGTACAAAGAAGTTATAGCGATAGTTCTAGCACAAGAAACAGAATGTACAACACCTGGACTAAAAATAAATAAATTATATAGAAATATAGTTTGACTATCTCTGCGTTCCTGCTTGTCTGCCACTGAGAGGAGTACTCACCCGTGATCGCCTCTGCGTAAGAGCGCGGGGTAGGGATGTCTGGTGCATTCGGGTCTCCTTCAGGGCAAAGCGGCATGGACGCGAGACGAGGTAACACGGCCACGAGACACTCAAGCTCAAACTGCTTGTCCTCAAGGACGTTACTGCCAAGGGCAGGCTCACCCCCGACGGACGGAGGACAGACAGACTTAGACTCAGTAACAAGACTCGCGACGTAGTCGAGACGAACGGTAGCAGCAAAGTCTACTAGCTGAGTGACACTGGTAGACGCAGCAGTAGACTTAAAGGAAGGGTTAGTGACAAAAGTGGCGAGGAGACGAGTGACAGTCGGACTAGCAGCACGAGCAAGGTCGGACTCAGGGTCAGGAACGTCAGGAAGAGAGGACGTCGGAGGAGAAGGCAGGGCAATACGCTGTGGAACAGTGGAAGGACGAAGTGCCATAGTATGCGTGCTGGGGACAGGTGGAGGACTAGGACGACAAGTACGACTGATAGTGCGAACAGGGGAGGCAGGACGAGACTCAGGCTCATGACGCTCTGCCAGGGAGCCTGTCTGCGCAGGGTAAGGAGAAGGAGCAGGCAGTGGACAGCCAGGCAGTAACTGCGTCTGTGACTGGTCAGACGGAGGACACATAAGAGGCGGAGTAAGGCCAGTGGAAGACGGAAGACTAAGAACCTGACGGAGTGCCCAGGCGGGTGGCGGCAGGTACGATATTTCAGAGTGCGTTGGTGTAACAACATTAACGATACCTAGCAACTTCTTACTGGGTATGAGCAGACTCCTTCACAAAAGACCTCAAAATCGCAAATTTGGTACGCGCCTGTGGCTACCGGTTGACAAATTCGAGCATCGAAGCTGCGTGCCTCACAGAGGGTGTTCCTACCCACACCTCGTATCAGAAACCCCTTGTTTCAGCTTCGCGTGGTGAAATACATTTCAGTGTGTTAGACTGCGGTTGGATGCGTTTTAGTGCGGTTCGACCCGAATCTGATACGAGGTTGCCTGGCAAGAGGCTGTAGGAACACGCTCACATTAGCGGTGCAGTACAATCGACTGCACAACCATGAGGCGATACTTTCTAGACATCAAACTGACGAACCTTGTTCTCAACCTTATAAAAAAGAGTGTCCATTTTGCACACCCTTACAGAAAGAGGGTAATAAACCGTGATACATTGGTTGTTCGTTAGCCAATCTGAATGCTTTCACTGCTGAACTTTTAAGAATGAATTACTTCTTTACTGACAACCAGAACCTTACAGCACAAGAATGTGTTAAAGTTATGTATACCCTGCTTGCTGTTTGTTCTAGTGTAGTTACATTGGTGGTGCACCTCCTTTGCTACTTTCATATATCTTGTTTGTGCACCATAGTGAACGCCCTTTTGGCCAATTTCTCTCGCCACTCATGCTACTCACAACACCTCAAACCCTAACTATGGCTCCACTTAATCTCCTATTTTGACTGCATGGATCAGGTTTTGGCTCCAGCCCACAATGGCGACCGTGAGACTCACACCCTACAATTGACAAGCATTGCAGGCCTTGCGACAAGCCCCCGGTGACCCTGGGGTTCCAACCATGTACCCCTTGTATTGCTCTGATGTGCAGTGGCCCTCCTTGACCCACGCCTCACAGCTGCACAGGGGGGAAGGAGGAGGCAGCTGTGAAGGTGCACAAGGGTGGAGGGGGTGGAGCAGGGTGTGTGGCAAGAAACGTCAATCTCCCCTCATGAAAGAGAGGTAAAAGAGACACATTAAAGTTCAGTCAGCTATTAGGGCAGGAGGCAAGCAGGTGGGGCAGCAGCACCTAGAGAAACACTCTATGTCAGAACTATGCTCTAGGCTGTAGTGGGGCACTCCTTGTGGGGTACAGCCCAACTAGGTTTTGCTATACAAACCCTGTACTGCTGTCATTCTAGTCATTCATTCTTTCCCATTCCTGACATGGTTTCAGAGCAGGTTCCCTAGTGGGAACGTTTTTTTTTAAGGCCCACCACGATAATATTTTTCCTGCCCTGCCTGAAGCGCGCCTCGCGCCTGCCTCACCTGCGCCGTCGCGCGCCCTGCCCTACTGCCGCCCGTAGCGGCCCTGCCGCCCGTAGCGGCCCTGCCCTCTCGGCCCGTCGCGGCCCTGCCCTGTCGCCGCCCGTCGCGGCCTGACCTAGCCGCCCGTCGCGGCCTGACCTAGCAGCCCGTCGCGGCCCTGCCCTGCTGTCCCCTGTTGCGGCCCTAACCTCGCCGCCCGTCGCGGCCCTGCCCTGCCGCCACCCGTCGCGGCCCTGCCCTCAGCCGCTCGTCGCGGCCCTGCTCTACCGCCGCCCCGTCGCGGCCCTGCCCTGCAGCCGCCTTGTCGCGGCCCTGCCCTGCTGCCGCCCCGTCGCAGCCCTGCTCTGCCACCGCCTCGTCGCGGCCCTGCCCTACAGCCGCCTCGTTGCGGCCCTGACCTAACCGCCCGTCGCGGCCCTGCCCTGCACCCGCCCCTGGTAAGCGCGCCGCCGCGCCCGCCTGCCTGCCGCGCCGCGCCCTGCTGCAGCCCGCGCGTCGCGCTCTGCTGCAGCCCGCGCGTAGCGCCCTACTGCCCTGCGCGTCGCGCCCTACCCCCTGCCCGTTAGGCCCGCCGCGGACCCTCCCTTCGCGCCGCCACGCCTGCCAGTTACGCCCGCTGCCGCGCCCGCCCGTTAGGCCCGCCGCGGGCCCTGCCTTCGCGCCGCCGCGCCTACCCGTTCGGCCCGTCACGGGCCCGCCCGTTCGCCCCTCCCGCACCTGTCCGCTACGCCCGCCGCGGGCCCGCCCCTTGCGCCCGCCGTGCCTGCGTTTTGCGCCCGCCGCGGGCCTGCACTCGCTGCCCAGCGCCACCCTGCTCGTGCGCGCTGCTGCCCGCGCCAGCGCCCTGCACTGCCAACGCGCCAGCGCCCTGCCGTGCACGCACTGGCGCCCTGCCCTGCCCTTCCCGAGCCGCCTCTGCAGCGCCCTGTGCGCCCTGCTCAACCCTAAAATATATAATTTAAGTAATTAATTAAAACAAACAAAACAAAACAAAACACCCTTGGTGCTTCTGCCCTAGGAGCTACTGCCTGCTACTGGCCGCACGCCGCCCTGCTCTGGCCGCGCGCCGCCCTTCCCTGACCGTGCACCGCCCCGACCTACCCTATTGCCTCCTCGCCGCCTTCCATTCCTGACACTCTATGCTCACCATGGAGGTTACCGTATCCCACCCTGCAAGGCCCCGATGACTCATGTAGCCCTCACACACACAGATGCCCCGCACCTTATTCAGTGCACATGCTTGCGCTGGCAGGCAGGCAAGGTGGCAGCACCCAGTAGCACCACCATGTTGCTCACCTGCATCCATTCTAACGCCCCTCCATCCCCTACATTCGCTACCCACACAACCACCACTCACTACGCGTTGCTGTCCTGGCAGGCAGCAACACAACATCACCCAGAGGCACCGTGACATCACCCATGCAGATCCACTTGGGTGTGCCGACCACTTGGTGCCCTCTACCACAGGGCACACGAGGTGCAGCGAGTGGCAGCATCACTCAGTGGCACAAGGAGAAGTTCTATTCACACAACCAAGGCTTAGTGGCACTCACTATGCGTTGCTGTCCTGGCAGGCGGCAATGACAGCATCACCCAGCGGCAGTGTGACATCCCCCATGCGAATCCACTTGGGTGCCAAACACTTGATGCCCTCCACCACGGGGCACGGGTGGTGTAAGGAGGTGGGGTCGGGCGAGCTGTCTGGATGCATGTTGAAGAAGAGTAGTGCATCGCCCTTGATGGGCTTCACTGGTGCGGAGGGATGGGGAAGGGTGGGGATGGAGGACAGAGGGATAGATAGGGAGGGGTGGGAAAGGAGGGAGGGGCAGGGAGAGAGGGTTGGAAAGGGATGGGCAGAGAGGGAGGGGCAGGAAGGGAGGGTTTGAGTGCAGTGCCCTTATCCCCTCACCTGCTCTCACTTCCATTTCCTTTCCGTTCCCTCTGCACACCACTCTCACCATCTGCATTCCACTCTCACCATCTGCACCCCACTCTCACCATCTGCACCCCACTCTCACCATCTGCACCCCACTGTCACCATGTGCACGTGCAACCACGACTCGTCCATGACTTAACATCTGGCAATCCAGCCTCAACAACCCCACCCCCAACCCCATCCCCACCCAAAACCCCACCCCCAACCCCACCCCCAACCCCACCCCCACCCCCACCCCCAACCCCACTCCCAACCCCACCCCCACTCCCACCCCCAACCCCACCCCCACCCCCAACCCCAACCCCACTTGCAACCCCACCCCCACCCCCACCCCCAACCCCACCCCCACCCCCACCCCCACCCCCACCCCCACCCCCACCCCCACCCCCAACCCTACCCCCGATCCCACCCCCACCCCCGCCCCCACCCCCACCCACCCCAGCACCCACAAGCTAAGAAGCCCTTGGCACAGTCAGGCCAGGAGTCATCCCCTCCTGGAAGCACCATCTCCCCTCCACCAACTCCCACACCTACTTCTCCCCCACGGACTTGTGCTCCCACACCTACTTCTCCCCCACGGACTTGTGCTCCCACACCTACTTCTCCCCCACGGACTTGTGCTCCCACACCTACTTCTCCCCCACGGACTTGTGCTCCCACACCTACTTCTCCCACACTGAGTTGAACTGCTTGGCAGGTACATATGCGTCACTGCAGAGAGATGAGGTGCGGGGTGAGACAAACGTAGGCTCCTTATGACCAGCTGGTCACTCTCGGGTCAGTCTCGGGTCAGTCTGGGGTCAGTCTGGGGTCACTCTCAGGTCGTTCTCGGTTTACTCTCAGGTCATTCTCAGGTGATAATTGAGTTTATTTAGGTGTGTTTCATGCTCGTGATAGGCTGGAGGTTGTCATGCGAGAGACCGAATGCCTGGCAGCGGCGTTCTCAATACTGCATGCATGCTGCATGCCATACGATGCCCTGCCATGGTGTTAACCAAGGTGGCAACGCGGGACTGATGGAGACCGACACTCTACAACGTCGATCCCTTCTTCCTCCCTCTTCTCATCACTCACCACATCTCTCCCACACCAATTTCCCTCTGCCCCTCCAAAGCTCTCCCACCTGCATCTCGTATTGGCAACACTTCCCCTTACCACTCACACATTTCAAAACAATTATGTTTTCACATCTGTCCCCCTCTTTTTCTAATCACCCTCCAAGTGTGCATAGTAGGCGTCACTCTGTCATTGTCTCTCCTTCCCGCACTCCATTCCCATCCTCTTTCCTATCCCTTCCCCCATCCTCTCCCCTATTTTCTTCCCCTACAACGTAGCCTTCCGCTTCTCCATCCCCATCCCCATCCCCATCATCATCCTTTTCCCCCTGCCCAGAGGTGGGCATGGTGCAACCAGTGACCTCGTCACTCGCCAGTCTCATTGCTCTACCGTTTTGCTCCTCTGTACCCCACTGCCGTTGCTTCTCCCTTCCCCCATTCCCAGGTCTTCACGGTGCAGCCAGCAACCTCCGACTCCCACCGTCTCTCCCTTGTCGTTCTTACTGCCCTCTCTCCCTATCTCTCCTCGCCTGCCCCGCCACAATCTCTGCTGTCAATCTTCACCCATAGGAGTTGAAGAATCACCCTGTCACGCCCTCCCGCTGCCTCTCATTCTTGCGGTCGTGTGTGGTAGTGGTCACCGGTCCTTTGGACCAACAGGCCAGTTCGTCCAACCGGTCCATTGGACCAACAGGCCAGTTGGTCTAACCAGTCCATTAGGCCAATTGGCCAGTTGGTCCAATCGGTCCATTGGACCAGCAGGCCCGTTGGTCAAACCGGTCCATTGGACCAACAGGCCAGTTCGTCCAATGGTGAAGTGAGTCCGTTCCCTGCTCTTTCCTCTCCCGCCCTTCCTTCTCCCACCCTCCCCTCTCCCATGCACTTTCACCCCACCCCCTCCCCCTCACTCTCAGTCTCGCGGCCATTGCGGGAGTGGGTGCGTTAAGTGTCCCTCCTCTCCAGGCGCTCAGCGGCCTCTCCAGCGCATCCGGAGTCCCGGCTTGCTGCTATCGTGGAAGTGGGTGAGGTCATTGCCTCCTTCCCTTTTTAACACCCTCAGCTGTTACATCGCATCATGGCAGGGTGTCCATACTCGTTCATGCTCTTTCAGCATGGCAGGGTGTCCATGCTCGTTCATGCTCTTTCAGCATGGCAGGGTGTCCATGCTCTTTCGTGCTCTTTCATCATGGCAGGGTGCTGTTTAAATGGGAAGGAGGCAATGGGAAGGAGGCAATGGGAAGGATGTCACTTCTCCCATCTCAACCTTGAATGCCCATGCTCTTTCATTCTCCCTCTCTCCCTTGCATCCCCCCACCACCTAAACCTACCCATACCGTGGGGGTGGGTGGGGTGGCACACCACCCCACCCCACCCACCCCCATCCCTCTCCCACACCACCTCACCCCACCCTCACCTTCCCAGCTCTTCTGGCGGATCACTACAGTTGCACATGTAACTTCCCCTTAGAAGTGATCACCTCTCCACTCTTCCTCTGCAAGCATCTTTGTTGCTTCTCCTCTCCTCCATCTTCCCCCCTACCCTCCAGCGCCAAGGCGTGCATCTCTCCTCATTCCCATTTTCTCCCCTCCATCATCCCCCCCGCCACGCCCCCCATCACCCCCCAGCTCTTCCAGCGGATTACGGGGGGGATGATATGAGGTGAATCTCTTCTCTTCCCGCCCTACCTCCTCCCCAGCCTTCTGGGTTGCCACGGCACTGCCACTCGTTTTGAATCCCTCCTGTGACATGTCCCTCCTGCCACTCGTTTAGGTGGTGAGAACAACGCAGTGCGGTGGGGGGTAAGGAAGTGATATGAAGGATCATGCAGTGTGTGTGAAGGAGGGGAGGAAAAGTTGGGGAAGTCCGTGCCTTCTGCACTACCCTCACACACACTCTGACCGCAAAAGCAATGAGAGCGAGTGCCCTCTATTCCCCACGCTACCATCTGTCCTTCCCTATCCTCACTGCCGTCACACACCTCCCCACCCTTTTCATTTCAACCGCAGCAAGCTCTATTTGGTTGGGCAGCCACGACGCCAAGGTATGCGACTGTTATAGCAGGCCCCAAATCCTTGTGACAGCGCTCTGCCACCTCTGGCCCTTCATCATCCTCGCCTTACCTGCCCTTCCTTGCTCTTTCCTGCCTTCCCTGCCTTGCCTGCCTTCCCTGCCTTGCCTGCCTTCCCTGCCTTGCCCACTCTTTCCTTCTGTCAGCCCTCCCTCCCGTCTACAAGTATGATCCAGCAGGAGCTAAGCTAAGTTAGCCCTCTATTGGCATTAGGAAAAAATTATGGGTAGTGTGCTCTCTATTGACCTCTCGTGTGATTGCTGCTCAACAGAAGTCTGCTGCGGCTGTTCAATAGTTGCAGCACGTTCCCGTCATCCTTACGTGTCCATGGATGTGTGCTGCATGTCACGACCATGTGTCCACAAAGTTTTTGCATCCAAAGTAACCGCTGCTGGTTCTTATCAGTTACTCCATGGAAAATTGTGATCAAGTGTGGCTCATTCCAAGGTGGTCTCATGTGCCAAAAGCCTACCTCAGCTCCTCACACAGCACCATCATTTTGGTAGAGGAATCATCTCTAACAAGAAAAATCTTGTGCCCTAATTGGCTTTCAGCTACCAACGAATAAGATTCACACTTCTTGTCCCCTGAATCGAGCTGCTCATAGTGGTACTACTTTTTGCACTGCGCTCTGAGCTTAAAATAAAACTTGTATTGCATGATGGAACATCGAGTTTGCCTACAAAAAGGTGTGTCAGAAACCAATCCGTGTATGATATATATTGTGGAGTATCATACCAGTTCAAGAAACTTGCCAGGGTATCCACTTAGCAAAACAACACACAACCTGACAGATGTATCTGCTAGCACAGCATACCGGTACTAATAACTTCAGATTGACCCATGCAAGCATTGCACAACACCATGAAGCCACAATACACATTC